CCAGCCCTGGATTATCCTCTGAAGCTGCATCTAATGCCAGGTTTGTAGATCTTCCTTCCTCTTCTTTTTCCATCCCTCCCTTTCTTTCTTTCTCTTTCTCTCTCCCTTCTCTGTCTCTGTCTCTGTCTCTGTCTCTGTCTCTCTCTCTCTCTCTCTCTCTCTCTCTCTTTCTCAGCACCCCCACCCTGGTAGCATTTCGCCCCTGCTCCCAAGGCCTCAGAAAAGTGCTGTTGGAGGCTGGGTAGGCTAAAAACAGGCTGCTGAGGGGGAGGGGCTGTACGTGGCCCATTTTAGCTGGCAGAGGCACCACGGGACGGTCCTTTGATAATTCCAGGTGAGCCCCACGGGCTAGATTCAGGCTGCAGGCCTTGAGTTTGCTACCCCTACTCTAGAGGTAACTGAGGCAAGTTCTTTGCACTTGTTTCTTTGCATGTGAACTCGGAACAAGCCTAGAGAAATAATCACTCACCCTTTGAGTTTCTTCTCCTTATAGGAATTGTCAGAAGACAGTTTTCTGCTCAGCTCTCTTCAACATGAATTTTGGGAAGCAAATTTTGGGGGGCGACAGGTTGTTTCTCCAAATATGTCTCTCTGTCTCTCTGGAAATTAGGTTTCTATTTGAAAAATGTCACTCCTTCAATAGTTAGATCTAATAAGACAGTATTTAATTCTACTGCCTTTGGTATTAGTAAAAGTCATGTTCAAACAGAAGGAGGTGATTTACTTACTTAATTAGGTTTTATAGTATCCTCAAATTGTATTTGGTTACTTAACTTTTAAGACCTGGTCTCAGACTGCCATAAAACATTAGTTCATATGTTTGCTTGAGGCTTATTCTTTAGCACTCACAGTTCCTTTTCAACTAGTCCAATCAAGCCTGTTATGGTTTGCCAATTGCATAGGGACAGATAAGACAGCACTCCAGAGCGTTAATATCATTTCCCAGAGGATCATTGGTTGCCCTCTTTCCTCTTTGGAAGAGCTTTGTAGCTCCTGCTGCCTTAAGAAAGTTCAAAGCATTATTTAAGATCCATCTCATTCTGGGCACACTTTTTTTTTTGAACTATTACCATCTGGCAGACGGTACAGGTTAATAAAACCAAGGAAAAATAGGATGAAAAACAGCTTCTATCCCAGGGCAGTAACTATATTGAATTCTACGGTATAGTGCAATATTAATGCAATATCAGGGATTTTCAGTTCAATTGTATAGAATGCGAAGAATGTGTGTTTGTGTTTTATTTTTATAGTTATAATGTACAGTGAAGATGGCTTTTCATTTCGTTTTATGATGTGTAATTACAATAAAGTAAACTGTTAGCTTATTATTTTGATGCATGATTTAGGTGTAACATATACTTTTTAAAAAGAAAGGCAGGTAAATTGGGCACTAATAATGGTTACTTTCCTATAGCTTTTTAACCTATAAAAATAATCCTCATTCTGCAATGTTTGGATGTCACATGAAGGTAAATGTTTATCTGAAAAGTTTTATGTAGTAATATTCTTCTCCTCCCCCCCCCCCCTGAACAATATATTTAGTAAATAAGACAGAATTCTATAGAGCCTTAGTTTAGGATAGTTTGCTTCCTTTGGTCATTGATCAACAGAATGGAAATCTGGAATGCTTTTGGTATTCAGGAGTTTGGATCAAACAAAATCTAGACACACACAGAGGGAGAGAGAATGGCAGTAATAAATGTAGATTGTCCCTTCTACTTCTCAGCAGAGATTCCCAAACTTTCCAGCATTATTCCACCTTGTCCCTCAGCCTTTTCCTCCTCCTCTCCCTGCGTGCAGTATGAAAAGGATCCAGTTTCATTCTGCGCACAGATAAGAATACCTGAAATGTACACCTCACAGCAGGGACCTCCCCAAACCAGCCGTTCTGATGCACGTCCCTACAACTTACTAATATGCAAGAAAATTGCAGTGATGTTATATTTCTCTGCCCGAAAAATTGAAATCAACATTCTTTTGCCTCAGGAGTCTATGGGTCACAAAAAGGTCAAGGTGTGGTTATGGTATGGTCAAAAGTCCACATATGTCGTAATGACCTCCACCCTTGATTTGCTTTACCAAACTTTCTTGGCATTTGTGCTTCGGCTGTTTGGTGTCAGGTTTCCGAAAGATGCCCTAATTAATTCATGAGCCTCGAGCCAAGTTTCAAAAGAAATCCAGTCACTTCTTAGGATAGGCAATAACCCATCGCAGTCAGATCTGACCTCATTTTAATTTTGACTGAACTTTGCCCCTGTTTCTTTCCTCCCCTCAGTCTGTGTCATACGAGTTGACATTTGGTTTAATTGATTATTTAACTAAACCCTTGGTGTGAGAATATATCAGAACAAGAATATACCGATATACATAATCTAGTTATAATCATTTTGAATTTGACTAACTTGGCTTCCCCCCACCCCCTTTCTTCCCCATTCCTCACAGTTATGGCCGAAGAGGATGTGGATGTCCTCAAAGAAAGCACTAGAGACAATCTCGAACCCGTAATGCACAAGCAGGGATGGCCTAAAAGCATGAAGCAGTCTTCATCCAGGCGGAGGCAAAATAAAGAGAGAAAACCAGGGTTTAAGCTTAATTTGTACACACCACCTGAGACCCCTATGGAGCCCGACTGTCAGGGGAAAGGAGAGGAGGCAGAGGAGGTGGCTGAAAAAGATCCATCATCGGCTTCTTCTCTGCCAGAAAAAGGGGAAAACTCTGAAGCCGTTTTCTCAAACGAGGACGAAGGGAGAGATCTGGTGTCTGAGTATCTAGAACTTCCCCGGATGGAAAAGGCAGATGTCATGGATGAAAGCAACATCGAAACGGAAGGTATGAGTAGTCAAGAGAAGGACCGGCAAGAGGAGAAGATCCTGGAGAAAGATGAGGCTGAGCCTAGAGAAGAACACGAGGGAAAGAAGCAGCCTTGTAATGAGGAGGGACATGAGGATGAAGACGAGGCTGGAAGTCACCCGGGTTCAAAGGAAACAGAGGAGGTCGTATCAGGTGAAGCTTTCAAAGAAGCGCTTGAGAATCAAGAAGCTTTTGTAGAAGCCGAAGAACTGAGTGGCAGGCCAAATGAAATGGATTTGATGGACCGTAAAGTTGACTTTTCGCCCAAGTGTAACAGTGATCTTAAAGAGCTTCCTGCTCTTCTGGAACCTGAGCCTGACCCAAGAGAGGAAAGCGCAGAAAATTCCAGCGAAGCCAGTAGCCATGAACTCAACTGTGTGTTCAAGGAGACGAATCCAGAAACTCTGGAAATAGACTCCGAGACCATCCAGGCAGTCAACTCTTTAACCCAGGAATCAGCAGAGCAGGAAGACGCGTTCCAGGATTGTGTGGAGACCCAAGAGGCATGCCAGAACCTGCAGAATTATTCCAACACGGCCCAAAGCCCACCAGCAGCTCCCTTAGAGGATTGTCAGCCGTCAGATCACAGCAGCCCCGTTTCGTCTGTCCAGTCTCACCCAAGCCAGTCGGTTCGTTCGGTGAGCAGCCCAAATGTGCCTGCCCTAGAAAGCACTTACACCCAGATGAGCTCAGATCAGAGCGGCATCTCGGTGTCATCCCTGCAGAACATGGAAACCAGCCCCATGATGGACGTCCCGTCGGTGTCGGACCATTCCCAGCAGGTGGTCGATAGCGGGTTCAGCGATCTGGGTAGTATCGAGAGCACAACGGAGAACTATGAGAACCCGAGCAGCTATGACTCCACCATGGGCAATAGCATCTGCGGGAACAATGCGTCGCAAAACAGCTGCTCGTACAACACTCTCACCTCGAGCAACCTGACCCAGAGCAGCTGCGCTGTAACCCAGCAGATGTCGGGAATGAACAGCAGCTGCAGCATGATGCAGAGCGCCAGCATCAACTCGCCCCCTCCTTGCAGTGTCAAATCCCCCCAAGCCTGCGGGGTCGAGAGGCCTCCCAGCAGCAGCCAGCAGCTCTCCCAGTGCAGCCTGGCCACCAACTTCAGCCCTCCTCTCCAACTGAGCGAAATCGCCGAGGCCGGCAGTGCCAACGTCGGCTTGTACGAACGGGTGGGCCAGGGGGAGTTTGCAGCAGGGCATTACCCGCAGCCTTCCGCCACCTTCAGCCTGGCTAAACTGCAGCAGCTGACCAATACCCTGATGGACCATTCGTTGCCTTACAGCCATTCAGCGGCCGTGACTTCCTATGCAAATGGTGCCTCTCTAACCACTGCGCTCAGCAGCTCAGGCCTGGTCCAGCTCTCTCAGCCTTCCCACCCGGTTCCAGGAGGGGGCCAAGTCCAGGCGACCATGACTCCTCCCCCTAACCTCACTCCTCCCCCCATGAATCTACCACCTCCCCTTCTGCAGCGCAACTTGGCTACATCTAACGTTGGCTTGTCCCATACCCAAAGACTTCAAACACAGATGGCCGGCAAAGGCCATGTTTCTGTTAGGACTAAGTCATCTTCTCTGCCACCATCAGCAGCCGCCACCGCCCATCAGCCACAGCTTTACGGGCGCACGTCACAGTCTGTGGCCATGCAAGGGCCGGCCCGCACCTTAACCATGCAGCGTGGCATGAACATGAGTGTGAACCTAATGCCAGCTCCCGCGTACAACGTCAATTCGGTGAATATGAACATGAACACATTGAACGCCATGAACGGTTACAGCATGTCTCAGCCGATGATGAATGGAGGCTACCACGCCAACCCCGGTTACATGAATCAAACCGCTCAGTACCCCATGCAGATGCAGATGGGGATGATGGGCACCCAGGCTTATGCTCAGCAACCCATGCAGACTACCCCGCACAGCAACATGATGTATTCCCCTCCTGCGCATCATGGCTACATAAACCCCAAGCAGTCTTTGAACAGCTCCTACATGCGGAGGTAGGAGCCTGGGTCCCAATGCGCGGGGGGGGGAGATGTTCCCCCCCCTCCCTGCCAAGCAAGCCTGCGAGGAGTGGACCTGCCTCAATGCGTTGCTGTTTCGGAGCGTGTGATTCAAAACCAGCAATTGGTGTAAATGCAAAAAAAAACAAAAAAAACACTGGTTTGTGGCACCACGAAAAACGTGTATGCAGAGAAAGCCTTACATAACGTCCTTTTAGTTTTTGTTCTGTTTGCAATTTTGCTTTGTTTGCAAAGTTTTTTTGTTTTTTTTTAAATACAATTGGTGTGGGAAAACATGTGTTGCGAACGTGCAAACTCAGCCGAGGGTTCGCGTGCCATTTTGAATGTGCCTCTTCCTCTTTGACTCCAGCTCTTCTGGAGCCTATCCGACTGTGCTGGCTGTCAGCTTTCCTCCCTCGTCTCCACCATGTAAATGCCTTTTCGCATTGCATTCGTTGGATTATTTTGTTCCTCAAAGTGGACACTTCTGCATGCCGCTGTCTTTGTTAGTGACAGTGCGTTTTGTAGTACTGTACAAGTGTTGTGCTTAACAGTAAGCCATTTCCTTAATTGGTGAGTCTTTTGCCTTGATTAGGTTGTTCCTCTTTAAGAGGTATTAATATATATATATACATGCATACATAACATATATATTTTTGCTAATTAGATTTTTTTAAAAAAGCATTGAAAATGATTCCAATTTTGATTTGATCAGTTTCTGGGTACTGTTCATTGGGAAATTCCTCTCTGTGATTGCACAAATCTGATTTTTCCCCCCTTGGAGCTGATCCAGAAGACTATCATGGTGAATTGAACCTTTGAATGGCAAATATTTCATGAAAGATTATTCTCCTTTTTTGTTCAGATAACAGATCATTTTCGGTTAAGAAGTGGGGGTGGGGGGGAAGCTTACTGTTACACAGGTTTTTTTAAAAATTAAGATACAGGCATCTATTGTTTAAAGGAAGCATTATCTGTGTGTAAACAAGTTTTTGAAACATTTTCATACGCAGATAAATTTGCAGGATTTTTTTTTTAAAAAAACTTTGTGAATTTGGTGTAAAGTTGCTATTTTAAGGAAATGCCTCTAAACTTTACATTTTCATTCCATCTGTAGATTTTTCTACCTTTATAAAATACGGGAGTTATTTTTTAAGAAAAGTAAATAGAACAGTAGCGTGTGAATAGGTCAAATGAAGTTTAAAGAACGCATGTAAAAAAAAAAAAAGCAAATGGTATTTGTGTCTGTTTATATGGTTTCCTTTTCTCCCCCTGCCCCCTTTGATAGCCTTTGTACCTGTTCAGAGTGACAGTACGAGCCAAAAGTGGTTCCATCCATGTATAAAAAATACACACGGTGAAACTTCTTGTATTTATGTTAACTTTTTAGTCAGTCACTTAAATAAAACAAAAACAAGCTGTACATTTTGACATAAAAATAAATTATGAGCCACTTTAGCCTACTGTCTTGAGATAACTGATGCAGTTGGAAATAATGATGATTTTTGCCATTGGTTCTAGATCATAGGACCTGATTCAGAATAGCCATAGCACTTAGACTTATATACCATTTCATAGTCCTTCTGCTGCCCTCTCTAAGCGGTTTACAGAGTCAGTTGAGT